TTAATGAATTGTATTCATAACCGTTTCTTGAGTTCGAAATCACATCGTACGAATCACTTAGTACGAATTTTCAATTGAATTACTGTGTTTCGGTCTGGAGTATAATTACTTTCGATTGTAGGCATAACTGACTTACGTGTTTGAATTACACGAGGTTTCGGAATAAGAAAATAACATGATTTGTTCACGTTTATCGACGGCGCTATATTGCAGTCTTACATTGTTTTGTTAATTAAAAGCTATTTATGGGTTGTCTTACAGCGATCTGAAGTGAGTTTGAAAGCCGGTCACCGGTAAAGTCGCGAAATCGAAAATCGCACATAATTTTAATTTTTTAGTATCGGTTTCGTGTTTTTAATGATTTATCTTAAAGATGAACGTTTAATTGGGAAGAGGGTAGTTACTAACTAAAAATTTGCAGTCGATTGAAGTTTCACGCCTGAGTCCTGAAGATTACGTCATTTTTTCTGATGCACCACATTTGCTCTTAATTTTTGTAGTGTCTTCAGATAAATCTAGACATATTTAAAATGTTGACATAATAGTTTGATTTGATTTGACTCTGGTATTAGATATTTTAGCATTTACGAAATAAGAAAAACCGACCTTCTGAATTCGATTAAAATCTCAATGTCAAATACATATCTCATGAATAAATGTAGCCATGTATCTGATCTGAAACCCTGTCCGTCTAAGTTATAGTAATAATTCATAACATTGCGTCGCTAATCTCGAATAAGTAGGTAGTAGATACTTATCTAAAAATCGGACATTATTTTGTGAAACAACATTGGCCAAGCGAGAAGCGTTGGAGTTGGGTTCTCGATGGCTTTTAACGCTCATTTCGGTAAAAATAATAAAAAAAAAATTCGTAAAAGGATATTCGATTGTATAAACGAAAACCTGCAAAAAGGAAGATTCGTAATAAAAACTTCTTCAGCTTTGACCTTTGAAGCGTGAATATGAACCATAATTTTCTTTATCTTGTAACTACGGAAAGGTTAATTAATTGTATCTATTTTTTTTATTTTTAACTAATTTATATTTAATAGAACGATAACAGCCTAGAGGCTTAAACCCGAAGTCTGATCAGGTAGCTTGTCAGCTGGATATGCGGCCAACCAATTTCCCCACGAGGCAAAAGATAGGAATAGGTGAAGAGAAATGATGAGAAGAGTCACTGTCCTGAGCAATAAAGGAAGGATTGAGAAGAAGATAATATAATATCTGTAACAAGTTGCAAGATTTTTCTTGCACCTAATGCCACATAACTAATAAAATTCTTGAGTATTGATATGGTATAATTTGTTGTTGACCCGGAAACTCCTGTCCCATTTACATTATATGTTTTTCCTATTAATTGATTTAGAGAATTTAGACATTCCCAGGTCGTGTTTCGGCGCTGTTGTAAGTACCAAGATCAACGGGTAGGCGAATTATAGGGTACGCATTGAATCTGAAAATCGTGGTAAGGACCCGTTAATTAGCAGTGTATGTAATGTTTTCCTTTAGTTATCACATTATCGTCCTTCGTTCGACGTTCGAAGAGGTCGACGAGCGAAATAACCCATAGACACAGCCCATTGAGCTTTTCGCCAGATTTTCGCCGTGATCGGTGTAATTCTGCGAAGCACTGCTCTTGCTAGGGCTATTGTTAGCAAATACTCTTTGATTGAGTCCGTTTGCTCACCTACCCGTCCGGGCGTAGCTGGAATAGCCCCATAGGCCAACAGCCAATAGATAGGCAAAAAGAAAAAGTTTTTTTTTTCCTACCTAAGCTGATAGCCTTGAGAGGCTATATCAGCGTAACCTTTATTAGTAGGTGAGCTCACGGGGCTCAAACCGGAGTATTGCTAACACTTACCCTAGCAAGAGTAGTGCTTGGTAGAATCTACCACCGGATCGGAAACGCGACCCACTGAGAAGATCCGGTGAGAAACTCAGTGGGTGAAAGTTATCACATACGTTTTTAATACATAGGATTGACCGATATGTACTAAAACGGAAGCAATACCCTTGTACAAGCACGCAACGAGCAATCTTGTTCAGTGCAAAACAATATACTATAGAATATTTTGATAGACAGCCTGGCTGTACCCTGGGCGTTGCCGTGGTCTACATTCGTAACCACTGACTGTCAGGTGGTCCGTATTCTCTATGCATGTTCGTGTGCCTCTCTCTCTCTCTCTCTCTCTCTCTCTCTTCAATCGGTCTCTCATTGCTGAGGATCGTGAGTCCGTTTGATTCCGTCAACTAGCTGTCGAACCCATTCCCCATCGATCCCATTCTGTAGCTTGGTGGAGTGCGTCGCTGACAGGTATTTTTAGTTCCTCCGCTATTTGGTCCGCAAAAAATAGAAGCATTTGGCGAATATTAGAATATGTATTAATTTGATCTATCTGAACCTCTAAATCTACTTACATTCAATTTCAAAACTCCGTATTACTGTAGTGAGATATTGTACTTATTTTGTCACATCCTGTGCTAGTATATACTTGGTGTGAATTGAGAGATTATTCTTATTATTGTTTTATACTTAGTTGTTTATTTTTTTTTCTCCTTAAGGAACCCTAAAGCATTTTCTAACACAACTCTATCGATGTCATCATAAAAGTTCATCGAATGTTAATGATCACGAACTTCGAATTAGATATTTTTTCTCGATGATACCACTAATCAAATTAATTAATTTTAGAAACTACTTAATTTTTACTGGTGGTAGGACCTCTTGTGAGTCCGCACTCACATATATGCATTTTAAAAAAAAGGTTCATTGTTTTATTTCTTAGTCTTTACCATAAATTTAGTATCGACGCAAAATAGTATAGAGACAATAGACCTTACAAAACAAGAAGTGAAGTTTAGCAAACGTTACTGTTCTTATGGCCAGGTTGTGATATTGACTGGTCTGTGCCACCACCCTACCTATTTCAGCGTAGCAATAATGCGTTTTTGCTTGACGCGTGGAGCAGTCGTATTTTTGTATAATTGCCTACGGTACTCTATTATAATAGTTAAGGAAACTTTGTTATCTGTTCTCCAGTGAAACCCTTAAATGACTTAGATGGCTTTTATTATGCCCCCGAGAAATGGGATAACTATTTAGGACGCGAGTGTGTTTGATACACCCAAAGTATTGTATTATTGTAAAGTTAATCCACAGAATTACGAATTGCACTACTTTCTAACGTACCCATAAATTATAGTAATATAGTAAAACTAGCTCTACCCGTCCGTTTCGCTTGGCATTTAAAATTAACATTATTATTTCTCACCCCCACAACGATTCTCATCATTAACACCCTCTCAACTGGTGTAGGGAGTCCAACACTCGTATTAATATTAGCCTATCCATTAAGTACATGTATTTTCTACATGGATACCAAGTTTCAAGTCAATCGGATGCATGGTTCAGTAGTTATAACGGAACATCCGTAAAAACTACTGTAGATTTATATATCAGTATAGATTTGCATGCGGAGCTTTTTAAAATACGGATCCATGGCCCACTAAATGAGAGTCTAATATTGGCGAAATAAATTGTGTTGGGAGCGGAAGGAGAGATGTGAAGATGAATTGAAAATGAATGATTAGAAAAGATGAACTGTTCCATCCGTTTGTCCGGAATCGACAAAATCTACGAACTAACAGGCAAGCGGTGTATCTTCTATTAGACTGTGGCATTTAAGAACGCACCTTTTGATGAAGCGTAAGCCGGAACGCACGAGAGGTGGGAAAAAGAATATAGTCTCTGATACGGGACCTTTTTACCGCCGAAAATTTAAAAATGAAATATAAAATATAATGTATATAATAACTAATAAAATATAATAACTTAGAATTGTTTATACTGCTACAACATAAAACTCCTATTGTTTCAACGGTGGTGTTAATTACATAAAACACGATTTTACGGTGATATAAAGAAGGGACTCTATATGGACTCCCTCAAGACATTAGGAATAAAGAGCGTTGGCTGTGGTGCAACGATCATAGCTTGTGCGGAACAGGAAACTATACAAATAAATTAAACAAAATAGGAACAAAATAGAAAAGCGACTTCAATTTTTTTTAAAAATATAAAATAAAATCATAAGAATATAATCAAAGTAAACGAAGTAAATTAAATGTGAATTATCAAGGATAACTCAAAACTTGATGATATTTAAACGGAGCTACATGAGAAACAGAGGTTTTCATACTAAAATAATCATCACGATACACGTATAATTAAGTTCTGAGATAACAAAAAAAAAGAAAGTCGAATGAGTAAATTTGTCTTAATTTTTCGGCTTTCACTACTCTTTATTGGAAAGCTGTTAAAAATTTAACCAGATCTAATTTTAGCCCCCCATCACCTTACATCACGTACAATTAATTCTCTTTAGAGGTACGTTGCGTAGTCTTTTTTTTTCGGGACCGGGATCCGAACCTCCTACGAGGTCCCCGCGTCTTGTCGGAGTACGGGGTATATGGAACTGGACGGTCAGCATATGTTATGAGCGAACCGCGGGCCCAAGGAATGGAATTTAGGACCCTACCTAACAAACAACTTCCCTGCACTACGTTCTGTATTCAACACAAGCTTATCAAGCTGGAATTGACTCTATGCTTTCTGTACCTATAAGCGACTAGCTGTACCGTCCGCATCGCTGGGCATTTAAAATTAACATTATTATTTCTCACCCCCACAACGATTCTCATCATTAACACCCTCTCAACTGGTGTAGGGAGTCCAACACTCATATAAGTATTAGCCTATCCATTAAGTACATGTATTTTCTACATGGATACCAAGTTTCAAGTCAATCGGATGCATGGTTCAGTAGTTATAATGGAACATCCGTAAAAACCGCTGTAGATTTATATATTAGTATAGATTGTTGTTATTAATAAAAATAGACGGCGATGGATAAAACAGATGGCTAGCATCAGAAAACTTGCATAAATTATCGTCAATATATATTTTCAAAATTTTTGCTGATCAAAATAATACTTACATTAGGATTGTCTGACGTCACGAACTACCAAAATTCAAAAAGAACGATCAAATCAATTTAAATGCATACAAAAAAATTACGTAAAAAGAATAATTCGTATGTAGTAAGTACCTTTGACTTCAAGGAATGGCAGTTGACTACGATATGCTGAAGCAAGTTAGCCGCTTTTATACAAAATGGGGCGGTCTACATTGATCGCGAAATTACTTTAATATCGTTTTAAGTGTAATTATTTTGATGAGTCTAACAAGACAGCTATTGATGGTTAATTACAAAGATGCGTAGATTAGGGACTTGTTCAATGTTGTGTATAATATACTTGATCTGGCGCCAATAGATCAATCTCTGTAATTTCGTGTAAAATGACAGAAAATTGTAAAGCACTTTCCAATTCAGTAGTTTTGAGTTGGTATTTAAATTTCAAATACATTTTCAGTACTTTATATAGGGGATTATTTTTTTGTGACTTTCAATATATATGAAATTTATAAGTACAGAAATAGAAAACTCCAGACGAATTATAAATTATAGTATTTCGAATGGACGCTTCTTGTAAAATCAGTAAACCAAGTAAACTTTTTAAAACAGGCGAAGCTAAACTACCCTTTATTTGGTTATCTACGTTTTTTATTAAACAACGTGAACTTGGGTGTATATTTATAATTTTAATTAATTTCTGAACGATTTAAATAAGATAACTCATTAAAAAACTTAGTACCAAATACAAAATAATATTTAGTGATATTAGTCTCTTAAATGTGGCTCCTTAATTTTGTTCAGATAGCAATAATTTAGTGTCTTGCGAGTGAAATAATATTAATTGTAATAAAAACAAAGTAGGTATGTAACAAAGGTCGTTATTACACAGTGCAGATTTTTTTTCCAATATTCCAATTCAACCCCACTATACAAGCCCCGCGAACTTCCCGCGCACTGACGTTCTAACGTGAAATAATAACGTCTTGTACGTGGTTTAATTTAGAAGGAGCAACAGGTTATTTGTACAGGACTGAAAAATACATTTACGCGCCAAAATCGAACATCACTCACTTACATTGTTACATTTCGAAAGAAATGTCTTTTGATAAATTAAATTCGTCTTGAGCAAATATTGATTCGTCCAATTTGTTTTTTTTTTTAGGTTATTTTTAACGATTACCTTCTGGGAGAGCTGTTTAAGATTATTTGTAATGTTAATGGGATGCTAAGATTTTCGAAGAAATTTTAATGTCACTCTTTTAAAATTTCGAATGGGTGTTTTTATAATCAGAGTGCGAATTTTATTTAGAGGTCGAATGAAATAATATGTTTGTTGTGTTTTGACCCGCCTGGTCGTAGGTCGAATAACCTACTAGTGATTAGGTAGAAATTAAAAGTGTTTTAAAATAAAATTCGCATCACTGGTTCCCTTCTCCCAAGTTATGCAACCAAGAAAAACATGTAATCAAACGCGCAGCGGTAAGACTTCTAGAAAACTAAATTACGTATACAGCAAAACTAAAGAAGTTCAATAAGAAACAAAACTCGCCAGTTATTTCAATTTAAAATTAATTGCCTTCGTTCGAAATGAATCTAGGAAATGCTGTTTAGTTATATTTAATTGATTTTGGATGCTTTTTTTTTTTGCACTGTACAGTTGGTGTGTTATGTGTACTTGCAAGTTCCTTACACTTACAAGCAATACCGTCTTTACCATAAGGGCACACGGGGACCGTGCCCAGGGCCCCCTTCTCAGGGGGCCCCGAAAGACCGACAATTTCTCTCACACGTTTATTCTCAAAACATTTTTGTCAGGCACATTACACTTTTTTCACAAATCAGTAATCAGAAGGTATTTACAAGGCCATATACTATGCCTATAATAAAAGATTTTGCTCAACAGAAATCCCGAAAGAAACCGTTATCGAAATCTTAACCAAAAAACCAGCAGCATATAACATTAATGACATATTATATCATACTGTATTTGATTACCTATATATAATAAATGGTCTCATACTCAGTAAAAAAATGTTATTATAATTCGCTTTTTTTACTTTCCAAAAGGACCTCAAATTCTTGTGTGCCCAAGGGCCCCATCCTAGTTTAAGATGTCCCTGCTTACAAGTGATTAATATTGTACATGTAAAGGTCAGCGAAAATAACTCTTTGGTTCCCACATCCAATGATTAAAAAAAATCAACAATGCATTATGTCCGTAAAGTCAGACTAGAGCATAAAGCAAATGACATGTTTTAATGCGGATGATAATTTACAAAAGGGGCAGTCTGGTATGTCTTTGTGGAAGACAATTCAATACTTGATACGGTGGTTTCTTAACGTATAGTCGATTTGGAAAACATCACGTAATTCATAATAAGCTTGCAAAAATTTTATTGCTTAGATGGGTGGACGAGCTCACAGCCCACCTGGTGTTAAATGGTTACTGGAGCCTATAGACATCCACAACGTAAATGCGCCACCCACATTGAGATATAAATTCTAAGGTCTCAAGTATAGTTAATACGGCTGCCCCACCCATCAAACCGAAACGCATTATTATTTTTCTTCACGGCAGAAATAGGCAGGGTGGTGGTTACCATCCGCGCGGACTCACAAGAGGTCCTACCACCAGTAATTACGCAAATTATAATTTTGCGGGTTTGATTTTTATTACACGATGTTATTCCTTCACCGTGGAAGTCAATCGTGAACGTTTGTTGAGTACGTATTTTCATTAGAAAAATTGGTACCCGCCTGAGATTCGAACACCGTCGAACGACGTCTTATCCGTTAGGCCACGACGACTTGAAAATTGATTCATATATTATAATAATGTCATGTTTCTGCGAACAATTAATTTAACAATATTGCATAGCAAATTATTCTACGCGTTAATATGGTCTCAAAGTCGATAAAGACATAATTAAAGCTACACACTTTGTAGGTTTCATTCCGCCACGAAAACAGTAATGCAATTGAAATGTTTTTTTTTTTTTTGGTAGATGATTGGACGAGCTCACAGCCCACCTGGTGTTAAGTGGTTACTGGAGCCCATAGACATCTACGACGTAAATGCGCCACCCACCTTGAGATATAAGTTCTATAAGGTCTCAAGTATAGTTATCATATAGTCTCAAGTATATGTGTAATAACGATAATACAGTTTTATATTTGATATTTTACATACATTTTTGCATTGTTTAATTAAGACTAACGATATGTTATTTTATTTATTTTTTAGATCAATAATTAAACTAAAACTAAGTTTGTTAATCATCATTATTCGGGCGATACAAAATGATAAAATATCTAAATATACAGAAGTAAGAACATTTCTAGAACAAATAGAGTAGCGTATTTTTTTTATTGCCCTTGTAGGCTGACGAGCATTCGGCCCATCTGATGCTGAGTGGTTACCGTCGCCCATGGATCTATTACTGGTGGTAGGACCTCTTGTGAGTCCGCGCGGGTAGGTAGCACCACCCTGCCTATTTCTGCCGTGAAGCAGTAATGCGTTTCGGTTTGAAGGGCGGGGCAGCCGTTGTAACTATGCTGATACCTTAGAACTGATATCTCAAGGTGGATGGCGCATTTAGGTTGTAAATGTCTATGGGCTCCACTAACCACTTAACACCAGGTGGGCTGTGAGCTCGTCCACCCATCTAAGCAATAAAAAAAAAACTTCAGCAATGCCAGGGACAGAGCCAAGCCGTTGCCTACCGTTGAACATTTTACTAGTTTCTTATCCGTGGCTGGGGGCCGAAACTCATACGAGGTGACCACGTCTTGGGGGCGCGCAGGGTATTGGCGGAATTTTACGGTCTGCAGATGTTGGGAGCAGAACGCGAGCCAAGGATGGTTTTAGGGCCATATCCTTGGTGGGTACCCGCAGCTTTGACTGAGTGGAGTGCCCTTCGAATTTCGAAACCTTAGATCCGTACTCGGGTTCTTCTTCGTCGCTTTCTTCATTACTGAAGGTCGTGTCTCTGAAACTTGACCGTGGCCTGTTCCGTGAGCTGTTTCCACCTCGTCCGGTCCTCAGCTTCTCGAATGGCGGTTGCAACTGGCAGCCCGTACTCGGCAATGGGATCTAATATACCCCATATTGTTTCACAGAAATTAAGCTATATCCATACAAAATTTCTCAATTGGTCCAGTGAAGCAAAACAATTCTCTAAATGTCTGTGTAATTGTGTAGGTATAGTTTGATATATTATGTATTAGTAGTTTATTTTATTTTATTATTATTATTATTGTCATTGTGTATTGTAACAATAAGTAAATTGATTAGATTGTACTCTTTTACCCACTTAAATTCTCCCTCTTTAAGAACGATTAGCTGGTAGATAACTCAATTGTTGAGTTTAGCTCGCCATTTTATAACTTTTCGCAATTATTGTATTGTATTAACTGTGTGTACTATAAAGAATAAAGAATTCTAGGCTTTAAACATTATAGACATCTGATTCTGTCATTGTATTAGACTTAGTCCAGTTCGTGTAAGCTACACTTAAGATTCAAAGACCCCCGAAGCTGCAGTTTAATACAGCAGACAAATGCTGAGTGCCTTCTATAAAAAGGTTAGGTTTAAACTTATGTTACTTATGGAGGCGTAATTTTTCGTTAAATCTATGAGTATATGCAAATTAGATTTGGCCATGCCAAGTCCAGTTTTCATTAGTATATCCTTGTTAAATAAGAAACTTAATTTTCGACATCACGGCCTATTATGACCCTTATTCAAAACCACACCGTTGGGTGTAATTAGGGCTATAGCCAACATAATTTATAAGCACCCGATCCTTCTGGAAAGGATCTGAATTATAGTTACTGGTTACATACTTTTAGTCATTGGTTACATAAGCTGGTGGTACGCTGAACTGTGGGTTCGCTGATGTGTTTTAAAGACGGAACAGTCGTAATAAAATATTATGATGTTTTAATCTCTATATATAAAAATGAATTGCTGTTCGTTAGTCTCGCTAATACTCGAGAACGGCTAGACCGATTTGGCTAATTTTGGTCTTGAATTATTCGTGGAAGTCCAGGGAAGGTTTAAAAGTAACAAAAATTGAGACATTCACCTTCCATCTTAAGCTGGGTGGAAGCATTTAAGTTTTTTATTAGTGTTCTTAATTTATA